GCTGTGCTTTACTAGTTAGGTTTAGAGGTATGGTGTGAATTAAGCTTTGGTTCAGGTTAGTGTTAGCTATAGACCAGTAATGGTTAATTTTAGGGAAAATGTCTGGTTTAGACATAAATAGTTACAAAAATGAATGGAAGTCAATACAAGTCCTCAGTTCAATGCAAATACAAGGATGTGTGTGTGTGTGTGTTTGAGACATAATTGTCTGAGAACAACTGATTAAATAAATTAAAGGCCCTCTGTTCCTTGAAGGAGGCGTCTTTAGACTAGACGTTTCTGAGCAGAAAGGATGGAGAGGTTTTGGTCAAACCTGGACCGCCCACCTGAGTCTGTGTTGGGGACCAGTCTCAGCTACCACCACTCTCTAAGCTCAGCACCTGTAAAAACACCTGAGTCATCCTCATTTTTGAGTCAGTCTGTGGCGGCCATCTTGAATTGATTGACTCCAAAAGGGAACTGTCTTCAGACGAGCGTCCAGTGATCCCTCTCTGAGAGTTTCATTCAATGTTTGTATTATTTATTCATTTTTTGTTAAAAAAAATCTGTGTACAATAAAAAGTACAAATCACAAATAAAATGAAAGGCAGCAGAAAGAAGAAAAATCTTATATCTGCCCCATTTTTCCAAAACAAATAAATTCAAACAATAATAATTTTCAAGTAAATGTGAGTAATGTGAGTTACCAGATGCTTTACTCAAACATCTCAAGGGAGAATAGAATAGAATAGAATAGAATAGAATAGAATAGAATAGAATAGAATAGAATAGAATACAACAGAATAGAATAAGGTCTTCCTACTTTGATTCATCTCCAACATCTTTAAAAAGGAGCAGAGTAAAAATTAAGATGATGTCATGGTTCAACACCTGATAACAGACAGGTTCTGGTTCCTGGTGGTCCACCTRAGTCCTCCAGGTTTCTTCTTCTTCTCTCTGCAGTTTGTCTCTCAGCTCACGGTCGCTTCGCCCAGAAGCTCCTGACTGACCTGTTCTCCAACTACACCAACGCCCTGCGGCCAGTGGAGGACACCGACAACATCATGAACGTCACACTGCAGATCACYCTGTCCCAGATCATCGACATGGTAACCAAACCCTGTCCTCAGGATCCTCAGACCTTGAGGGTCCAGACTCTTACGTGTTCTGTTTTCTCAGGATGAGAGGAACCAGATCTTGACCACCTACCTGTGGATCCGCCAGGTGTGGATGGACGCCTACCTTACATGGAAGGAGGAGGACTACGATGGTCTGGACACCATCCGGATACCCAGCAGCTACGTCTGGAGGCCTGATATCGTCCTGTACAACAGGTACACTGAGCTCCCTGTCCGCTGGGCTCAGTTCTTCTCTTGGTTTCTTCTCCTGGTTTCTAACAGCTTCCTGCTCCACAGCGCAGACGATGAGTTCTCCAGCTCCATGGAGACCAACGTGGTCCTCCGCAATGATGGACAGGTGACGTGGGACCAGCCGGCCATCACTAAAAGCTCCTGCTCCGTGGATGTGGCATTCTTCCCCTTCGACGTGCAGCAGTGCCACCTGACCTTCGGCTCCTGGACTCACAATGGAAACCAGATGGACCTGATCAACGCCTTGGACAGTGCAGACCTCACMGACTTTGTCCCCAACGTGGAGTGGGAGGTGAGTGCTCATCTTCTCAACAAATCCTGGTTCCTGAACCAGATCTTTAAACTCTCATCTCTGAGCAGGTTCTGGGCATGCCGGCCAAGAAGAACGTAATCCTGTATGGCTGCTGCTCCGACCCATATCCGGACATCACCTTCACGCTCCACCTGAAGAGACGGGCCTCTTTCTACATCTTCAACCTCCTCATCCCCTGCATGATGATCTCCATCCTGGCTCCTCTGGGCTTCTACCTGCCGGCCGACTCTGGGGAGAAGATCTCTCTGGGTGTGACGGTGCTGCTGGCCCTAACCGTGTTCCAGCTGCTGGTGGCTGAGAGCATGCCGCCGTCCGAGAGCGTCCCTCTGATTGGTGAGATGACCTTCTGATCTGCAGTTTGATTCATGTTTGGTCAACAAGTTATTTTTTGTCTTCATCATAGAAAGAATAAATGTTAAATCAGATATCAGGTTCTTGTTGGATGTTTACGATGAAGCTTTAGGTCCAACATCAGAGACATAAATGGTTCTGAGATCCAGTTGGTGAGTTGTCTAATTCAGGTTTACGGCAGTGATATTTAGAGGAACACATTAACCTGGAGCCTGACATTCAGGCAGGATGCTTAATTATCTGCAGAGTCCTCCTCCGTCTCCTCGGACCTCTGATAAAAATCATCAGAGGAAGAAGAATAAAGATAATTAATATGCTGAGATYCAAAAACTGCAGAGGAGGAAAGTTAGTTGTTTGCAAGACGTTCCTTCACAGTGGTGGTTCTGTAACKATCAGGAGTCCAGTGGGAAGATAAAACCTGTCAACAACCAGAGCTCAGCAATCAAGAAGTTCTCAGTCTGTGGCTTTCAGAGCTGCAGACAGAAAATTTTATCTCCTCAGCCCGAAGACGACCAATCAGGATCAGTTTACAGGAAGARAACTCTTTAAAACATCAGCTGCAGACATTTTATACAGAAATAATCCTGTTTATTCTGATTAAAATGTTTAAATATTAAAACTTTAGTTGCAGCAAAAATGTTAATCATTCAATCTGAAGCTTCTGTCCATTAATGATTGACAGCTCAGTGACCACAGAGAGTCCGAAACAATCAGAACAAACTCAGTAGGTCCTCTGGACGGGTTCTTATTTAATGAAACGTTTAGTCTCTCCTCCATGAGACTTCTTCAGTCAGAATCAGAACCAACATTAAACTGATAGAATCTCCAAGTCCTGCAGTCCTGCATTCCTGTAGTCTTAAAGACCTGTAGTCCTGCAGTCTAGCAGTTCTGCAATCCTGTAGTCCTGCAATCTGGTAATCCTCCAGTCGACCTGCAATCCTGTAGTCCTGTAGACCTGCATCCTGTAATCCTGTAGTTCTGTACTCCTGCAATCCTGTAGTTCTGTAGACCTGCAGTCCTGTAGTTCTGTAGACCTGCAGTCCTGTAGTCTGTAGTCCTGCAGTCCTACATATGGCAGTCTTGTTGTTCTTTAGTCCTGCAATCCTGTAGTCCTACAGTCTTGTAGTTCTGCATTCCAGCAGTCCTGCAGTCCTACAGTCCTTTAGTCCTCTAGTCCTGTAGTCCTGCAGTCAACCTAGCATATTTTTGCATTAAGAGGGAGGTCCTACTGCTTGGATCTGGACAGATTGTGTTCAGACTAACAAGTAAGGAGGTCCAGACCACCCCCAAATGTCCTTATCTGAATGTCTTCACTCAGACCTCTGAAGGTGGTCCAGTTGAAGGCATGTTGAGTCCAGTAAAATCCTTAAATTTATTCAGTCTGATGACAACATTTGGCAACAGGTCTGAATGGCCTCTGTACAGGTGAGTCAATGTCCTGGGACATGAACAGTTGGACAGAAGTCAGGAGGAACCAGCACGACCTGACAGCTCTTCAGTGAAACCTCTAAMAATCAAAAATCTGGGMCTAAACATTTCTTCATGTCCTTTATCACAGGAAAATACTACATTGCCACCATGATGATGGTGACAGCGTCCACGGCCCTCACCATCTTCATCATGAACATACACCACTGTGGACCCGAGGCCCAACCYGTCCCACAGTGGGCTGAGCGCTTTGTCCTGAACTACCTTTCCAAGATCTGCTTCGTCAGTGAGGTCGGAGAGAACTGCTTCAGAGGGTCTTCATCCAAGAAACAACCTCTATCCCAGGATGAGTCTGATGTCCCCTCATCTGGAGACAACAGAGGAACAAACTGGGAGGTAAATGGACAGGCGTGGGGAGGGACGGGTGAAGAACAGGGTCAGGAGGAGTCTGTGAGGAGGGAGAAGGGTCTGACCAAGCAGAACCTCTGGAAAGAAGATCTGTTTGTGACCGTTGACCATTCTGAGAAGGACTCTGCGGGCGGAGTCCGCAACGGAGACGATGAGTCCAACCGTGATGGAGGGGGGGAGTGTTTGACAGAGAAGAAAGATGTAAGAGGCGGAGTCACGGAGAACCGGAGTGAGATCTTGGTGAGAACCCAGTGCGTGTGCCAGGACCAGAGACTGTGTAAGAACATCGAGTTCATCGCCGGCTCATACCAGGACCAGCGAGCGGCGCAGCTACGCACCGCCGAGTGGAGGAAGGTGGCCAAGGTGATGGACCGCTTCTTCATGTGGCTCTTCTTCATCATGTTCTTCTTCATGAGCGTGCTCATCCTGGGAAAGGCCATCTGATGGAGCCATGAACCAGACCGTGTGGACGATGTGGACGCATCCAGCATCTCTTCACAGAACCCACCGAGTTAAATTTCAAACGACGACCAGTCAGWGCTCAGAAAATTCATTAGGAATGACTCTCAGATACTACCACACCGAGGTTATCGCAGTGTCAGTAAACTTTTCGGCCATCTTTGTGTTTTMTAAAGTTTATTAGCTGTGGCTGCCAGCTTGAAGTTGAGCTGGGTGTTTACCTGCTTCCATCTTTATCCTGTTATAAGAAATGACCAAATATGGTCAACAGGATCAAGACTGGTTTGACTCAAGGCTCCMACCCATATCTTTTAAATATTATAAACAATCTTTATTGTTAAAGTATTTTTAGTTTTAAATCAAATGAACCACAGAACTAAACAGCTGTTTGGTTAGTTGGTTAGTAAACAGGTGGTGCCTCCTGCTGGTCGTTAGTCAAACTGCAGCTTTCAGGTCTTTTCGGTTTTTAGTTCATCCTTCATTTCTGCATGGTYTGAAAACAGGAAGTTTGTTCTTCTTATACCAGGAATTTAAATTCCGATGATTTTAAAGCTTCACTGTTTCTGTTTTATTTCTGAATGTGACACAGAAGTTGGAAGGTTTTGTTTTTTATTATATTATAAATCAGAAGATTTGTTTGTTTGTTTTTTATCACAGCTGATCTGATAATATTTCTGCACCACATCACTTAATAAACATTATATTTTCACATTATTTTTGTTTGTCTAAATTCAAATCCACTGAATACAACAAATGTCATTAAACACTGTTTAAAC